TCTCTCTCTCTCTCTCTCTCTCTCTCTCTCTCTCTCTCTCTCTCTCTTGCTGCCTCTCGCTCTCTCGCCTCACGCCAATCGCGCGCACATCGCGTATGTGTGTCGCGTAAGTCTATGTGTGTGTGCGTATGTGTGTTTGTTTGTGTGCTTATGAACGTATGCGTGTGTGCACGAGTCTCTCTCGCTCGCGCCTCCGCACTGGGCCTGCAGAAATCTACCGGGTGTTTTCGGCGAACGCGGTACCGCGCGAGGTCTTTTCATTTAACTCTATTGTTGCGATCATTGGACGGATATACTGCGCGTATTTGAACAACGTTACAATACAAAGCCGCAGCCGATTCTATGCCGCCGCTTTTTCGTTACACTTCACGCGCGGGAACAGGTCGTTTTGGAACGGGCACAATGTTGCACTTACCCACCGTGCATCGACCTGCTTGCTACTTTCTCATATACAAACGAGGCTCTATGGAGACTGCTAAATGATCGAAATTTAATAGGAGTTTTATTCGATATGTTAAATCAGTTTAGTTGAAAGAATATTCTCCATATTCTTCAAGATGTCTCTAAATGTTTCTCTAAATGTTTGTGTCCTAATCGCGTTTGTCATGTCGACTAGAACGAATGATAAAATGAAATATTCGTCTGTAGCGAGAGTGTCTCATGATCTTCCCTCCTATAAGTAGTTTATATTTTTCAGTTATACAGCTACATTTAGTTATATGTACCCATATTAAGTTAATTATACAGATATACTTTTTAATTTAATATTATATGTGAATCACAATTATAGGAATCACTGCCGTGATAACGATTCCGAGACCATCGCGACAACGAAGATAATCCGTACGCGCGATTGGAGAGCCGTCGCATCTTGCGGAAGAAAAATTCCCGTTCAAGTTTCTCCGAGGTGTTCGGATTCAACCGAGTAGCAGCGCACACAATAAAAACGCGCGATGCTCTTCTTCTTGATGTGTGTAAGGTTCTCGCTGGAGGAAACGCGGTGGATAATAATATTCAGGGCCGCGCGAGCTACAATGTAGGACGAATTACAATATGAAACGCCGTATCTCGGTGTACCATTAAAATTAGGCTGCTGAGGAGAGCATGCTAATTATTCCGCGGGCTCTACAAAAGTTCCTTCGCCCTGGTTCTCTCGCCCGACGATCCCGCCGTCCTTGCGCACCATACAGCACCCTCTCTCTCTCTCTCTCTCTCTCTCTGCCCCCCTTCTCTGCCCCCTATCCCACTGCCTCTCTCTTTCTCTTGTTCTCTTTCTCTTTCTTTCTCTCTACGTGCGCAGGGATAGACAAATCCCACTCTGAGAGCAGTGTGCGCCTCTCACAAAAGGGGTGGAGTGAGACAGCTGGCCGTGTGCCCAGGGTCAGGGTGCCGCGCTCGAAGCCATGGAAGAGGGCGAAAAAAAGGAAGAAACCGCGCCCATGTTGTTTCTATTCACCTGCCCGTGCTCGAGCGCCGAGCGAAGACGCCGTTAATAAATTTCGATTAATTAGCAGGGAGCGAGAGCGGCGGAGCCGCCGTCGACGAGCGCGTTTAATTACTGCGACGTCAACGACACCATTCGCATAACACAGTTCGCGCTCTCGCACGCGTCATAATTTCGTCGCCGCGTTTCACGGACACCCGAGGAGAAACGCGAGGCAGTCTCAGGTGTCGAACGCGCTGTCACATTTTGTTCGGTCCCGGATGAGGTCTTCCTTCCGTGACACGCGCCGTACGACTGCAGTCTCGATAATTTTATTAGAACAATTTCTCTCCGACTTTCTCTCCCCGCGGTCCTTCTCTATTCGAACTTTTACCGGTTTTGCGCAACCGAAATGCCGAATTCGCAGCGAGCTTGCCGGCCGGAGGAGACCTCAAAAGAAGGCTGGTGAGACGAATTCGCTCGTTCGCTCGTTCGCCGAGTCTCTCCCCCGATCTTCGCGATTTTTCCACCCCTGTGCGATCAGGTCGGCGAGAAGAGCGCGGAAAAGATCTAGTCGATGGAAAATGAATTGGAAACGGACATCAACGACGGTCTCGTGGGTCCGCCAGCTGCGCCATGTGGCAAATGTTTCCAGCCAGCTCTACCAGAGAATGCAATCTGCCCCCACGATGAGCCGGCTGGTCTCAGCAGGATGCACCCGAAGACTATTTCCCGTGAGACGTGGAAAATCCGGGAAACGATCGGGACTAATAGCGATCTGAACGCGACCAAGTATGAACTCTTAATGGCGATTATCATTCGTCCTGCCACCGTACGTTTGACGTTAAAGTTGAGGCAATCTCGTTCCCGCCGCGTGTGTTTTAATGCTGTAACGTCCAATTGCAACTGTTTTGCAAGTCGCATGGAATCTGAATCATATGGAGGGGGAGAAATAGTTCTTAGAGAATGATGAATTGTCTGAATGAAAAATGCTCAAGTATTTATATATAGGATCTCATTGTACACTGAGAAAAAAAAATCTAAAAATTATCAAATATTTCTTAGATGGATACCATTAACATATTTATTTAAATCAAAATTTTTCTTATTTTAACCGTATATTATTTACTCGGTTTAAGTAAATAATACTTGGTTTAAATAAAAAGAATTATGATTTAAGTAAATATGTTAATGGTACCCACCTAAGAAATATTTGTTAATTTTTAGATTTTTTTTCTCAGTGAATTCTTCTCTTTTTAAATAAAGAAAATTGATTAAAATAGTGATTTTGCGTACATACGGTAATGTCTTTGAGCGTTACATTCGAAAAAAAAAAACAAGATTATTACGCGTCATTAATATCTGTATCTAGAAAGAGAGATTTTAGTTGGTTGAATGTTAATGTACCGATCGGTAAATTCTTCTTTCCAATGAGTGTAATGGGTGTCAAACTTTACATCTTTTCGCAACTGCAATACTTTTTTAATCCTCGAATCTATTTGCCTTAAACTATCCGTATTATTCATATTTTCAAGATAATTATATATTTTTTTCATAAAAGAAACAAAAATTATGATAGAGATATAATAGACTGTTAATTGGATTTTTAATCGTCCGCGTCATCAGCTGTGGCGTTAAATGGGAGCTAAAATAATCTTATTCTCCAAAAACGGACGTCTCTTCCAAATTTTTTTCTTTTTATATTCTCTAGTTTTTCTATTTGAGAGTAATTTACCAGCGCGTCTCTCATGGCGATCGGTAAGTCAGGATTTAGGAGATCCCTGACTTGCCAACGAAGCAGCTGCCGCTTCTACAGCAGCTTCCAGCGAACGCAATTTCGTCTCGCATCTGTCGCTGGAGGCTTTTTCAGCACGAGTGGCTCACGTTCGCATTGTCGCGCTAATAACGCTCTTCGTTCCGCTCGCGATGGGAAAAGAAGCCAGCCCATTAGACCTCCGTCTCGCATAGGATCGCCTATTCCTCGACTTTTGCCTAATCGCGACGAGGCATCAGATTTACGATATCGGGCGGATCGAATCCAATTAAACGACTGTAATTATTATCGCCAATGCCAGCCGCATATTCCCGTCATCGCATATTTATGACCGTGACAGCGATAATTACTAGAGATAATTTTTACATGCCCGGAGCAGCGCGTGTATATAAATCAGAACACAAGTTAATACACTTGGCCGGCTAAATCCACCGGGAACGTTGGATTGATCGTTTTGCTAGCAGCTACAATAAAACGCCCCGTTTTCTCTCCTAACATTTCTCTTGTGGATTTACCGATCGTGTTACGTCTGCGCTTTATGCTCGCATAATGCTTTTCCGCAACGAAAATGTATTTCAGTGTTGTTATTAATTGAGCAAAAATCGAGGCTGCTAAATTACTTGGTGTACATTGAGAGAAAATATTTAAAAAATAAAAAAATATTTATCCAGTGGGCACTAATAATATGTTCATATCCAAATCCTTTTATTTAAATAGAATAAATAGTTGGTCTCATAAAAAGCTAAAGTGCTTTAAAAAAATGCGTATTTT